ATATGAGATCAAGTGCAGATTTACTTTAAGAATAACTTCTTACTGCTGTTAGATCTAAAGCTTTCATGGATTTTTGCTGCTGTTCAGGCTCTTCCATTTCATTTCTAAACACAGCTGGGGAAAATTGGAGGCGGGTAGGGTTATTGGATTTTATTTAGCTCTGATTTCGAAAAACCTGTTTTCTGATGCTGAATTCAAGCAGTATTTAAGGAAAAAAAAAAAAGGTGAAAATCACTACCATCAGACAGTACTGATCTACCCCAAAGAAACTTGTAATTCTATTTTTCTATTAACAGGCCCATACCAGCAGCAATTAATTCTTGATGACCTCGTCAATGATACGCCTTTAATACATGGCCAAATGGCTTGTATTGTGAGCACAATAAGGGGGGGGGGGGGCTAAACCAGTTTTGCCCTCACCCATCAGTTGGCATCACTCATTCATTCTTACAGTCTGTGGAAACAGAAGAGGTCACAGGAAAACTAAGTATGATGTTCATAATTTCTTTCTTTAGCTATGTAGTGTTGGTTCAAAGGACGTAACATTTAATTTGCAAGTAGGTAATGTTTCTCATAATTCTAAGACATAAAAGTATGGGTAATAATTGTGGCAGAATTACGAGGCTGAGATTTTTGTCTGCTGTTTTTCTTTTAAGTAATTGTGATGGCATTTTTTCATTTTGTAATGTGGGTTTTTAGGAGTGAAGGAAGTTGAATTTTTGTGACTGTGCCTTCATTTGTAATCTCTTTGTGAATGAAAGCTATATACAGGCACAAATCCAGCAGCTTAATTCTCCATCTGATTAGAGCAATGTTACCAACCTGATAGGTTGGAAACAGCCAAGATCCATGCAGTGGCTTAGCCTCCTGGGAATCAGAGTAATAACAATCAAATGAAGACATATTAAAATGTAATATTACTTCCTCTCCATGGGGACTGTGTAAGAGTCATAGCCAGGAACTATTCTTGTCAGCTGACTGTTTCGCTTACTGATTCCCTGCCTCTGCATTTATGACTAATGTATTTCAAACAGTAAATAACACTTGTGAAGTTTTAAAAACAAATAAATGTAAAGCATTTTACATTGATTTACATGACTTGCAGGTTTTGGGGGTGGGTTTTTTTTGGCTTTTTGTTGTTGTGTTTTGGGGGTTTTTTTTGTCTTTTTTAATAACATATTTTGAAGAAGAGACAGAGCTGGAATGAAATCCTTTGGTCTGAATAATTTCATTTCTTGTGTAAAGGAGAGGGTATGTTAAGGCACTGTTTTATGAAACTGAAAATCTATACTAGCTTCTCGAATAAGTGTGTATCAGCAGACTCTTAACCATAATTTCATAACTAGTCAATTTTTTCTGAAAGTTGAAAACCCATCGCTTAAATTCCTTATAAAATGGCAGCTGCTGATGTATTCAAGGAATGCAGACACACAGTGTCTGTGTACGCAGAGCTCAAACATCATTTTTGATTGGCTGCTGTGAGTATTGCCTATAAATTATGATTTTGTCAGAAAGTCTTAAAATTATTAGAGATTTTAGGGCAATTATATGTGTTTATTTGTAGGTGTGGTTAAACTGTCAACTGAATAATTCAGTGTGCTTTTGACTGTAATTATTAGTTTTGTAATTGACACCAGTGGAACAAGACAGGTCTCAGAAAATCAGAGGTACCTATCCATCAAAAGATTTAAAAATATTTTGCTACCTGTTTAGCAACATCGTACTTGAATTTAGTTTCCTATGTGTTGCTGTATTAATACAAAGTGGTGTGGGATCCTGAGAACATTTAATACTCATGAGAAACTGTGTCAGTCATTAATGATGTTTATTAATGTCAATATTTAAGGAATATCTGATCTTCTTAGCACAGGGCTGTATGTAAAATATATCACTTTTTAAACCTATTTAAAAAAAATGTGCAAACTGTTCTTTTTTATATATGTATATAAAAATAAACTGGAGGGAAGGTCTAGGTTTTGATCGTACAAACACACCGGGGAGTAGCTGTTCCGTTTTAGACACAAGAAGATTGTGTTATGTTTCTGTGTTTATACCCAAAACGCCTATCACAGACACTGGTGGTTTTTTTTGAAATATCCTTTCATTGTGAGTAGAGCTCCAGGTACAGGGTCACTTTGATGCAGAAATGAGAGTGCAGTGGAGGAGTCTACATGATAGTGGGTGTAATTTTCATTTGGAGATCAGTATAGAAAGGCAGTGGCGAGTGTTTGAGGAATATTTTGTGCTCACTCCCTTGTTTGACTTCTGTACACTGAACTGTCAAGGGGCATTAGCAGTATGAAACTATATTTTCTCTGATGTCCCAGATTGCTGCTTTTTCTCAGTGCAGCTTTTCAAAGCTTGAAATGATGTGCTTAAAACTGCCCACTTTGTTCCTGGTACACTAGGGATATGTGAGGTTGTATTTCGATAGTCTTAATAAATTCTGAAACATAATTTCTTCCAGTGGCCTTGGGTAATTGTCGGTTTAATTACAGGGAGCAGCTGAGATGGAAACTTTGCTTTGTCACTGAAATGCACCTCTTTGAAAATCCCCCGTTCCTTGGGACGTGGCAGTCTGTACTCTGAGCTATAACATAGGCTTTTGTGAAAACCCCTTGAAGAACAGTGGAAAAAGTGAATACTTCTGCAAATTCATTCATCTGACATCAAAGCTAAAGCATTCTTTTAGCAAGCGAGGCAGATTGAGCTCTCGTAGGCACACAACCAGACTCATTGTACATCTGGGCCTTCCCGTTTGGAGACTGTATTTGAAGTAATTTTGCATTCTTTTTGCCATCTTACTTTCTTATTCTGTACTGAGGTCAGACTGCATCCTCTGCATCTTACTGAGGTCTCCTGCTCTGTGGGTTAAATGGATAGGCCTTTAAAGACTAAAAAGGCATTGATGTTAAGAAGAAGCAGTACTCTGTTCAATTAAAATCAAGTAGAAGTGTTTAAGGTAATGTGAGCCCCCAGCACCTTGATTAAAAAACGAACGAAGGGTAGCAGAAAATGTGAGGCAATGTCAGTGTTTATTAGTTGTACTTTCAGTTGATGCTCAGCTTTGGTATTTCTATTTACTGCTTTTTTTCCCATGTCCTTTGCTGGTACATTGGCAAATAGGTCATAAAAAACACTTTCAGCAAAGATGCATTTGATTTATGTCCAGAACAGGTTCTTAGTATTGATTTTTTTCCCCTCTGGAAAAAAAAAAAAACAAAAGAAAACAAAACTGTATGTCTCCATTATTTTCTGAGCATGGCAATGCAGTGGCACATTTCAGATGACCTTTTATCTTAAATAACTCAATATGTTCTTCTGTGTTTTAAAAAGCCTTTTTGCAAGTTACAAAAAAAAAAAACCAAAACGTAATTGCATATGTGGCCATTGTAATGTTTTTACAGGGGGGAGGGAACAAGGGGAGGAACTGGGACGGACCACATATTAGGAGAAGGGAATTTTAGGAAAAGAAAGCGCAATTTGGGAAGTTCGTATGGTGGCCGTAATTCGAGTTTGTCACAAAGGAGGCAAAGTGGAACAAAACCAAGAAGTAGATCAAAGGCTAGGAAGCAGGGTTCAGCGGTATGGGGTTTATATCTTTATGGCTAGAGAGAAGATTAGAGCAAGAAAAATACTGCCGTGGGGCTAGGAAGACATTGCGAAAGAGAAAGGAAATATACATAGGCTGCATTTGAAAGAAAATCCCCAAGGAAGGCAGAAAAAGAAGGAGAGAGAATTAAAAACAAAGATATGAACAGTGTGAAGCCCTGGTTGAATTAGATCCCGAGCTGAAAGGAGAAGGCAAGAAAGTGATAAACATTTTGCCACAGCCACGACAAGTACTGAGCTCTGCTATATCCCATTTTCTATTTGTTTTCTCCAGTTGGTGGCCCGGTAATGGTGCATGTGCATATTGTACCTGTTTGTATGTGTTTTGGGCCTGGAATAAACAGCTTCAAGAAACGACAGTGAAATTCCCACCTCTAGGGCAACCAGAGTGGGAAAACCCGTTTCACTCCCTAACTAGAGAAGCCAGAGTCCACTGCTGGTGGACATGTCTGCATTACCACCATGACTGGGGCACCAGCACACGTGCCAGCGGTGGATGGTGCCTGGCGTGGTGTGGGGTGGCCACAGCGCCTACACCCGCGGAGCTGCCAAATGGTTTCCCAGCAGCTGTTGGGGTTTTGCAACCAAGAGTTGGCTCGGGCGGCAGCAGCGGCGCACCCCTACACTGTGACTCAACGTTTTGGATTCTCTGAGGGAGTTGTGCTTGGTGCTGGAATTGCATTGCAGTGTCAGCTTGTGGCAGGGTTGTGTGTTTCCAGCCAGCACCTAGATAAGAGTGAACAATATAAACAGAGGGGAAAGCACCCATTTGTTTGTACGAGATCAAAGGTTTCCATGAGAATAGTGTGTTCCCCCCTGCCACCTGCCCCCACGGAGGCTCCCCAGTGCTGAGAAAAGTGAGATTGTACTTTAAAATATTAAATGGTTTCCCAATCAGTGTAGAATCTCGGCTTTCACCTGGGTCTTTTGTAAGGAGATTTGTAATAGAGGAAGCAGGTGTAATGTGGTGATTATAAAGATATTGTTGAAGGGGGGGAAAAAAAAGAGGTGAGTTTTCAGTGCTTTGCTCCTCTGAGCCTTCCAGGGCTTCCTTTTCAGCTGACTCCCATCACCCTTATAGCAAGGTGCTGTGTTTTCCGGCCAAGCCAGTCAGTCAGTTGTGCATAGAAAAAAAAGGTTACTGGGTAAATCTGAAACCTTGATAACACATTCCTCCATTTGTATATATTGCATGGCTTACCAGTGTATTCATTCCTTTGGCTTCCAGCATTTCACAACCTGCCATAGGTCAGCCTGAGCAACAAGAACAGGTCCTGGTAGATTGAAAGATTTCTGCTTTCAGACATTCATGTTCACATCACTTTGCCTGTTGATTTCCTGTTTTTTATTTATTTTTATATTTTTATTTTTCTTTTATTTTTGATCAGCAACATCAAATGGGTCTTTGGAGGGCCTGGATAACCAGGAGGGAGGGGTGTGCCAGACAAAAACCATGAAGATCCTCATGAAAGTTGGACAAGGTAAAGACCATCTGCTGTTTCATGAAATCACTTTGATCAGTCTCAGTGTCCTTTTAGTTTTCAGGCTTCTTTTAGCGGTGTAAAACAGGGAGTCACCGGAGTCTAGTGCAGTCATTCCTCCCTTTAGTCTGAAAGCAAAGCCTATTTTCTCTTCCTAGGCTACTGACAGATTTCTACAGAAGGAGGGTTAGCGTAATAAGATCTCTTCATTGGAGAGGTCCCTAGAAGTAAAGGTCACCTGGGAATAGTGTGTTTCAGTCATTTTTATTTTTATTTTAAAAACAAAAGCCACAATTCTAATGCTCAAAATTATTTAAAATACATGAAAGGAGGGAAACTAATATTTCTATAGTTTGCTTGTTACAAATTCTGATTACAGAGAGGTTTTTGTTCATTGTCTCTTTCCACATATAGATAACCTATTGTGCTGGAAGAAAGAATTATTCTTCTAAGTAGAGGTTGGTTTAGTAGTCAGTCAGCTTCCTTAGTTAAACTGAATGTCATCTGCAAAGGTTTTCTTGCCAATTACAGGAGTCCCTATAGTTTCTGCAGATGGCCTCACAATTTAAACCTCTGAAATAACTAATCTGATCATTTTGCTTTAAAAGGAAAATTACATTCTTGTATCTCCCAGTCCTCTGCATAAAGATTCTTCTGTTCAAAACCATTTGTGTCTCACAAGGTACTGAGAGCCAGCTTATAAGGCTCCTTACCATCAAGCACTGAAGCTGCATGAGCCATCTTTCTCTCCCCCAGATCCCAACTCGGCAGGGCTGCCCCGGCACACGGATCCCACCAAGCGCCCTGAGCAGGAAGCTGGCACCAATGGGAAGAGTTCCACCACCAGCCCTTTTGTGAAGGATCACTCAGGTGGGTATGGTGGCAATTGTACCTGGGGTGAGGCTCCAGCCTTTGTCCCCAGATGTGTTTTATTTTACCATTAAAGTGCCAAAAAGACAATTTTTTTTCATACTGAAATGAAACAAAAGCCAGTTCTAATGCTCTGGTGGATAATGTCTGGGAGCTGCAAGTTCTGGCAACAGCTGCTCTCTCCCCCTTTCTACTCTGCAGTAGAAGTTAATTACATCTTGTGAGAATATCACTCATTTACAGGAAAGTTTTTGGACAGGACATTCACTGAGCAGCTTTACAGTGGTGAATGCTGCCTTACATTTTGTATTCTGGCAGATGAATGAGTCTTTCTGTCTTTCTCTTCCCATATAATACATTATCAAGTGGTTCTTGACAGCAATTTATAAAGTTTATTTTAAGGCATCTATAATTAATGTCCTGATCTTTTAACTGACCATATAAAGTCTGCACTTGAATGGCTGGACTTTCACTAAATTAAAAGGTTTGCTTTTCTAAAATAATTATCTAAGCAAGATAAATAGATGGTTCCAAACAAATATCTTCAGGATGCATTGACAACATTAGATGACAAGAAAAAACCTAACTCTTAAGACCCATGGTCTCTGGAAGAAAGTTTGGTGAATTGGAAATGCTAGAAAGCAAAACTTTCTGGCAGTTGATTCTGGGATTTCCCCAAATGGCTGCAAGTTTTCCTTGCCAATTCTGTCATTAGTTACTGGGCTAATGAATCTTTGATACAGTGGTCACTAGCCAGGGTTCAGCTAATTCCTACAGAGGTTCCAGGAAAAAAAGTTCACAGTTACGTGCACGTGGTAGCTGCAGCACTCTTCCACCTGTGAGTTAGGATCAAGATGGGGAAGTCCAACTTTTCAAGTGACAAAGGGTCAAGTGATCTTTCATTTAATTTTTGTGACAAATACTATGATGGGGTGACAGCACAAAATATTCAACAGAAACAATATTTCAGCACATGAGCTTTTCCTATCTACCAAATGTGTGGTGGTGTTTTCTTGTAAATAAAATGTAAGTTAATACAAGCCGATACATGCCAGAGCCATTTTGCCTGTCTCCCACACTGCCTCAAGCTCCTTTGTTTTGTGTGCAAGCAAGAGGAGTCCGTGTAAAGAGGCACTAAGAATGGTTTAGCTTAAATCGATACTTGAAGGATAAAATAGCAGAAGAACAGTGTGACACTGAATAGAACCAGTTGGCCTGAGAATTGCAATTTCTGTGTTATTTTCCCCTGCAGTTGTATACCACCTCTCTCTGCTGCCTGGGGCTGGCCAGCATCTGTTAAAAGATGCGGTGTGCATTAAAGGCTGCCTTGTCAGTGCCAGTCCTTGCTGCTGATGGATGATGATGTATGAAACAGGGTGGTTTGGGAGCAGCACAAAAGTGAGACCAACAGACACAAAGTCTTGTTTAATATTGATTGCTGACTTCGGCTGTTTGCATTTAGCTATCTAACAGGGTAATTGGTTTGTCAAAGTTTAGCTGTCAGTTAATTCTTCCCAGTGTTGCTTACTCTATACATTTTAAGCAGTGTAAGTGTGTCGCAGCATGGCAATAACATTTGTTTATTGTATTTCTGTTCTTTTCAGGATCTAGCACAGATGGCAGTAAGGCTGGGCACTCCAGTATACTGGGTTCAGAGGTGGCCTTATTTGCAGGGATTGCATCAGGGTGCATCATTTTCATCGTCATCATCATCACTTTGGTGGTTCTTTTGTTGAAGTACCGGAGAAGACACAGGAAGCATTCCCCGCAACACACAACAACTCTCTCACTTAGTACATTAGCCACCCCAAAACGCAGTGGCAACAACAATGGTTCTGAGCCCAGTGACATTATCATTCCTTTAAGGACTGCAGACAGTGTTTTTTGCCCCCACTATGAAAAGGTCAGCGGCGACTATGGACATCCGGTGTACATAGTTCAAGAGATGCCTCCTCAGAGTCCAGCAAACATTTATTACAAGGTCTGAGAAACACACAACCAACTCTGTGGTACAGTTGAGTCGTAGAGGAAACTTGCTGGTCAAATGCTTTCTGTTGGAGTTTGTGGTGACGCCTTGTGCACTAGCATTGACTCAAGCACAGGGGGGAGAAGGTGACAGCTCTTTCTCCAGGAGCCGACATGAGCTGGACAGCTTACCTAGTCTGTAGAATTCCTGTCAGTGAAAAAGTATTCACTAAAAGCTGGAAGACTTTTATGTAGAAGATGCCCATTCTGATTGCTGTACTGTTTTTACATTCATCATCCTCAAAGCCATGTGCTGCAGGCATTCAGGCATGTACAAAAGCCAAGGGAAGATGGAGTGATCTGTGGATGTTAATAGCTCTAGGCATCCTGCGAAGGTGCTCTAGGATATATCAAGCTTGAAATGCAATCTTCTGACTTTTGTGTGTCTCTCTCAGCATGTACTGGATTTGTCACACAGACCTTGGTGTCTAAGTAAGACTTGTTAAAGTTCTCTTGCTTTTAGTCTGTCACTGTTCCATTTGTTTCTGTTACCGGGGCTCTGCCATCCTTCACATGAGATTTCCTTTCACTCCACCTCCTGAATCACTAATCGAACATTAATGTTTGGAGATCCACGCTCCATCCATCTGCTACAGCAGCCTCACTCGAATGGGTAATGCATTTATAGAAATCGTGTTTGATAGTAAGGAGCCTTCCAGCCAAAAAGTTAGGCTGTCAACAAAGTCAAGAGCAGAACTGGGTGATGGATGGAAGGGCTGACTGCAGTTGCAGTTAATACTGCTGTCTCAGAAATAGAAGCTGGGAAGAAAAAAAGAAAACAAAACAAAAACACATTTAGGTAGCACAGCACTTTGGTATGCTAAGTTTTAAGAGGCAAGTAGGAGACACAGTAACGCACGCAGTGGATTAGGGCTGCATTTGAAGGAATTCATGGTTATCTAATACCAGTGTGCAGAAAAAAAAATAGTACCTTCAGTACAATAGAACAAAGGGGTATTGTTAGTAAGTGAACAAGCTTGGAGAGGACAAGACAATAGCAGGCCGCTGAGGATAGATTAGGGGAGGGCTGTTGTGGTACTGGCAATAAAGTATACAGCTTTGAAGCTGTAGCAAAAACGTCTGCTTTGGATGACTTTTAAGCAGACTCAGCTGCTATACTGTCACATTCTGTTAAACACAGGGAAAGCGTTTAAGAAAATAGCAGAGAGCAAACTGAGCAAGATGACTGTAAGCCAACAGGTCAAATGAGCTGTAATTCTGTCACTGGTAAAGTTGTGGAAAGAAAAAAACCCAAACCAACCAAAAACCAAACCCAAAATAAAACCCCAACACTTTCTCATCTCTAAAGTAAGAGAATTTCTTTCTGACTGAGCCTTTTGACACTTTGGTTTACTATAGTGCTGTCCCTGCACAGTGAGTTTAGGTACTGTGACTGACACAGCCGTTCATTGGTGCTCTGTTGAAAGTTAAAGCACATATGGCAAACCTCTTGCAGTCCGTAAGAATAAAATAAATTATGACACTGAGATGGAGAAGGAAAATAGATCTTTATTTATAATAGGTGTATAGAACACAAGGGATATAAAGTGTTTTTCTTTCATTTGTTCTTTCTTACTGTTTTGTTTTGGTTTGCTTTTTTTACTAATATATATTTTGAGATTGCACAGAATCTACACCAGAAGATGTGAAATTCTTTTGCGGCAATTAAATAGTCTTAACTTGTCATCATTTTGCATATATATATATGTGTGTGTGTGTATACATAAATACACACATATATATGTCTTTATATGCATGTATATGCATATATACGTATACACACATTTTTTCTCTAAAAAGAAACTGCTTCTGGGAAAAACATTAGCCATCCAAAAATAACAATGGAAGCATATTAAAAAAAAAAAAAAAAAAGAAAAAAATTAATCCAAAGCATCTCATACAAGAAAACTACGAAATATAAGGCTCGAAATATCGAAATATCAGGAAGTCAGTGTTACTGCATCACATATTTAACAGTAACAAGGCGTGCCGGCATTATTTTGTGTGTTGTGTTTTCCCTTGCCTTACAGGCTGATGTGTTCTGTAGATTTCATTGAGGTTCGTAGATGGGGGTTTCAGGTTAAAGTTTTCTCTTTAGCATGGCTGTTCCCTACAGCTCCCACCCTGGGGAGGAAATAAAAAAACTCTTACTTTTATATGTGCTATGCAAATAGACATTTCTAACATAGTCATGTTACTATGGTAACACTTTGCTTTTTGACTTGGAAAGAAAATGTAGCAACAGCATTTGGGGATCTCAGACCTCCAGTGAGCACCTGCAAGGAAAAAAAAAAGAAAAAAAAGAAAAAATATCTGTCATAAAAATGATCACTCTCTTTGTTTCCTGAACCTGAAAATGATGTTGGGATGTTGGTCCAAAAGAGAAACAAAACAAAACAAAAAATCCCAACCCATGGTTCTGTGGAAGGTTACCATGGTGACTAACTACAGTACATATGTAATTCTTTTCAACAACCCTTCCTTTCTGTGAATCCATCCATACAAGGTTCTCTTGTAAGTCATTAAGATTTTATTTTGGGGAGGGGGTGTACGGGGGAAGGGAAAAGATGGGTTTACTGATACCAATTTTTATTAAATCAATGCTTCATCAGTTAGCTACATTCTAGTTATGTACTAAACTGTGAAAAAAAAAAATCAGATGAATTGCTCAAGAGCAACCTGCAACCATTTGAAAAGAAAAAAAAAAATGTACTGTGCATCTGTTTTGTGTCTGGTGCAGAATTATGACAATCTACCAACTGTTCCTTTCTTTGACGTTGGTCCAGCTTTGAAAAGTTACTGTAAATGCCTTGCTTGTATGATCATCCCTAGTCAACCGACTTGGAATTTGCACCATCATGTCTAAGTGAAGATGCTGTAAATAGGTTCAGATTTACTGTATATGGATTTGGGGTGTTACAGTAGCCTTATTCACCTTTTTAAATAATAATAAAAAATCCCACATGAAAACAAGAAAAATGGCTTTTCTTAACCAGATTGTGTATATAGAGCAATGTTGGTTTTTTATAAAGTCTGAGCAAGATGTTTTGTATAAAATTTGAATTTTGCAATGTATTTAGCTACAGCTTGTTTAAAGGCAGTGTCATTCCCCTTTGCACTGTATTGAGGAAAAAAATGGTATAAAAGGTTGCCAAATTGCCGCATATTTGTGCTGAAATTGTGTACCAGGTATATTTATTTAAGAATTTCTTTGTCCAGTTTGTAAGTAACACAGTATTATGCTTGAGTTACAATTTTTTTGTTTTGTTTTGTTTGGTTGGTTTTTGTTTGTTTGTTTCATTCTGTTTTAAGACTAGCCGGTCATAAGTTTGAAATCTGCTTTAGTTCCACATTGCAATTAGTTCCCAGAAAATGAAAATTATGAAAATCACATTCCACATCTGTTTCAAACTGAATTTGTTCTTAAAAAAATAAAATATTTTTTTCCTATGGAAACCTTGCTTTTAAGTATTTTCTTCTCTGTTTTGTAATTTTTTTTCTTCTTTAAAAGATGAAAATTAGAAAGCCACCACGCCTGCCTCCCTTTGCGTGTCATTTTCTCCCTCCCTTTCTTCCTCCCCCCTTCTCTCCCAGCTCTGCACCCTGATTGCTAATGGTTTATGGGAAAGAAATCTTATAATATACTGGCTTCTGTTAACCTACTTCTTTCCTGGGCTTTCTCTTACATATATCAGCAGATTTAACAAAACACATGGATCTTCTGTTCTTGGAAGTCAGAGAGCTTTAGCACACAAGTAATTGCCAGACATGGAGTGGGTTTATACTGTGGGTAGAGTCAGAGATAAAAATACGTGTGAAGCCTTCTGGGTGCTCTTGCTGTCACTGCTGCTCCTGAGGAGGGGGAACAACAAGCTTGAGGGTGGCAGGGCTGAGTGAGAAGGGACAGGAGATGGAAGATGTTTGGAGAATGGCTAAGGACTGGAAATGCTGCAAAGTCAAAACATCTCTGCATGGTTCTTTCAATAGGGCCATGCATCATCCTGTCCATGCTTTATCGCACCTTAAGGGAGGTGGGGGCCAACGAGCAGGTGGCACAAGCCTTAATACAAACTCTGATTGCATTGCTGTGATTTTCACTAGGACAACCAATTCTCTCATTTAATAATACCGTCATTCTTTTACAAAGCCCAGCCCTTTTCCTTACTGAAAGTAGAGCATCTTCCAGTTTGTTAGCAGGGCTTAAATGGTGTGAGCATCCGTGGAGTAACTTTGTCCTCTACAGAGGACAAAGATACTCTTGGGAGAGTTATGTGGCCCAGTGGAAGGCATTAAGTCCCTGTGGTAGAGCATGTGAGCATCCTCTGACTTCTCAGTAAATCACCTGGGCCTAATACTGCATATAAATCACTGTAAATCACTTCAGAGGAAGTAGACTTGCATACTTGGAGGCAAACACATACTTGGCTGAATTGGGACTTCACTCCCTGATTTGTGCTTGCACATAGGCGATTTCACTTGCTCATTTCAGTGGGTTGTTGTGAGGGTCACCACATTGTTAATATCTGTGTGGTGTTCGGGTCTGGTCTATGCTAAAAGCTTGCCTGATACAGCGATCTGTTAGAGCTGTGACTAGCTTAGTAAAGACTAAGGCTATTGTTTTTATTTTAGGCCTTGGTAAATACTGGAAGTTGGTGATAAGAAAAATAATTCAATAGTGTGAAGTTTACATGGCATTTTCATTAATTTCCCTTTTTTCCATCTATGATAAACATATTATATAATTATAGCTAGCTTGTATACTGATACCCACACCCCCCTATTTTTGTCACTGTTATAGCAATAAGGGAAAAACCGTTGCTTTAAACAGTGTCTCAATGGGGGGGGGGGGGGGGTGGTGTAAAAAATGGTTGCTGGTGTAGCTATATCTGTATAGTTATACTTTGGGACAAGGATGCTGGGTTGATGAGAGGTCCTTGTATACATATCTCAGCAAACATAACAGAACCTCCACTGAGTCTGCTACACTCATCATAGAAAACGGTATGTGCCTTAGACACTCAGCATAAAGTTACTGACTTACAACCAATCTTTTGTAATTTGTACAGGAAAAAAATTCATACTTGCATTTTGCTGATGCTGCACTATTAATTATCAAATAAGCACAAAATCAGGATTTACTGCCTTTGTTATGAGACTGGGTCCTGACAAGAACCAGCCCAAGTCAATAGGCTCTGCTAAGTGGAAAATATAATTTACAGTTGTTATCAATCTAGAGCAGAATAAGTATCTCTTACACAAAATAATGTCTCACAATGTAAGCCTAGTGATGTTGCTGCCTAGGTTTAAAATGTTACACCTCTTTCTTTATCCTTTCTCTATAGCTTTGCTGTGATGCATTGATCAAATGCTCAGTCAGCAGCATGCTCGTTTTGATTCTGTGGGCACCGTAAATTTTCTTTTTTGCAGAAAAGCTTAAAATTGTGTAGTGGTTAGCAAAATAAAGGAAAATGAAAACTCTGTCTTTCTAAGAGACACTCTCCATCTTCATAGCCACAATAGACATTTTGGTGGAGAAAAATCCCAGGGTTTAAAAGCACCTAACATACTCATTCAACAGTTCACATGTCATTACATGAAACATCAGATCAGAAATCAGGTAATATTTGTTCTGGAAAAAGGTGGGTGTTGAAGGATATACCACAGTGTATTCATGATTGTGCCATTCATAATCTGAATGGTGCTGGATTCAGCTGGCTGAGCTATCATCTATGAAATAAAAGAGTATCTTTCACATGACTCACAGAAATACTTTGATGCTTAATTAAGACATAATGCAACCCATAGGAGTCACCCTACAGATAAAATCATGGGGCTGATGGTGGAACTGGAGTTCCTGTTGGAAAAAGCACGCAGATGATATCCTTGCCCATGCCTGGGTCTCCTGATGATGAGTGAGGTGCTGGCAAATGGGGGCTGGTGTCTCTTGTGAAACTGGGCCAAGAGTCTGTCCACACGTGGTGAGGATGAGGAAGGGATGCTGCAGGAGGCTGTTCCCTGAGGAAAACCTTGGAGCAGACGGAGGAGGTGAGAGGGAAAATGTACAAGAAGGCAGTGACTTCCTGAGGAGGAGAATCTGAGACATCTGTAATGACAAAAACCTGGGGAGAAATCAGAACCAGGATGACAGGCCCAGCTGTGGAGATAGTTAGAGAGACAGTCTTTACAGCTCTTGTAAAGGCTTCGGTGGAAAACAGATAGCGGCAAGCAGAAGAAAAATGTTGACAGATGAAAGGCAAGTAAACATAGCATGTGGTAAGTGTTGGCTTTGTTTTGAGCAGGTGAGGAGGCCAGATTGTTCTGCTAGACCCTGAGAGGAGAAAGAGCCTGCATGGGATGGAGAACTGAGACAAGAACTTAGTGTTTTCTGCAAGCTGGGATCCTGTGAAAAAGAGATCAAGGATCTGCAAGAACTGAATAACTGTATGACTGTTAAAAGTCTAAGCAGCAGAGAACCTTGTACATAGCTGTCATAACCTCGGGAGTAGGACTTGTGTTTTCATAAGTGTATTGACAGAGCCTCATGTGCTTAGGCTGCTAAAAAA